TCTTGAACATCATTCCACATGTGTGAACTTGTACTGCTTAAGCCATTGGAGCTAAAACAAAATCAGAAAAAAAAAAATTCTCTGAAGTGAACCGGAAGTCTTTCTGTTTAAGTCTCTGTGAGAATGCCAAAGCAGAGAAAGAATCACTCAAGACTGGGTCTTGAATATCACAAGGGAAGAGTTGGAATAAAGAACGGTAGAAAGGAAGGAAAGAGAAAAGGAGGGAAGAAAAGCGAAATACTGAAATCCTTTTGCCTCCCCTCAGAGTGGACGATGTTGTGAAGTCCATGTACCCTCCGCTGGACCCGAAACTCCTGGATGCACGGTGAGAGGGGGGAGCGGTCGCCCATCTTTGTGTGCTGGGGGCTCCCTGTTGTATCAGATCTGGGAGGTTGGCTGTTTGGATTGTTGAGGAGAGGGCTGTTTTGCTGGGTTCCCGAGGCTGCCCAGGCTTCGGGTACCATTCACTGCCATGTGAGTGAATGGTCAGCCAACCAGGGAGCCGAGCCTGGCTGGGGGCTAGGGGCCAGTCCTCTTCCTGAAACCCCAGACAAGGAAGGGCCAGTCTTAGATTTTGAATTTTTATGATTAAACATCCAGCCATCCTAAGTCCTGTCTGCTCCTTCTCCCCTGTCCATTTTCCCCCATCGCATCGCTCTCTCTGCTCTTTGGACCCTGGAAGCAGATACGCCTTAGTGGGGCAGGCAGTGAGCGGGGCAACGAGAATGGAAGTGAGAAGTCAGCTGAAGCTGTGCTCACCTTCCATGGGACACACCCGGGAACCCTTCTCTTGTGATCCGCCCCGAATGTGCAGAGCATACCTAACCTTTTGAAATTGTTGCGTTTCTGTACCAGATGTAAACCCACTTTTAAAAACGGGTTCTTTTGTCTCTCCGATTTATATGACTGTTTCATGGACCCATTGTGTAATGATGGCCAGATTGGCAGGGGGTCACGTGCTTCAGCTGGTTTCTCTGCCACCCTCTTAGGGCTGCCCAACTGTGTCTGTGGGCTGGTAATCTGTAATACATTCCCAAATGCATCATGCACGCTCACTATGTAAAGATATATAAGATACTCTACAGTGAATCTTTCAATACTGATTAAAAAAGCTCCTCCTCAATTTGGTTTTCAATTAAATTTCTTTTTAGAGTGGAGTAAACCAGCCCTGGACCTAAGTGTTTCTGAATCAATAACGGATGCTCAAGGTGGGAGGCGGGGGTTGGGGTATATATATCCTATCTTTAAGTGGGCAGTAGTTTGGAATGTGTTCATCCAATTGACTAAATCCAGATTGTCCCACAAAGCACTCTTCTGGGAGATGCTAACAGGTGTGCTGCAGAAAGCGGGCTCCACAGTCTTGAATAAATTAGTGAGACAGCATACATATTCTCCCCTCAGAGCTTTGTCATGCACGTCAAAGGCACTGGGAAGGGCTCCAGTTAATCTTGTGTAAACCAGCCATTCCCAAATTCATTTGAGCATGGAGCCATCTTTAAATTACATACTCACCAGCCTCTAAGGGAAGGCACGCCAATTTGGGGAACATTAGTTTAGAGTCTGTCCTTTTGGGCTTTGGTGCAAAGTCCCTTATTTCCTAGAGAACCTGATCCTGTTGTTTTTTTCTAGGACAACTGCCCTGCTCCTGTCTGTCAGTCATCTGGTGCTGGTGACCAGGAATGCCTGCCACCTGACTGGGGGCCTGGATTGGATTGACCAGTCACTGTCAGCTGCTGAGGAGCACCTGGAAGTCCTTCGAGAAGCAGCCCTGGCTTCTGAGCCAGACAAAGGCCTCCCAGGCCCTGAAGGCTTCCTGCAGGAGCAGTCGGCCATTTAGTGCCTGCCAGCCAGCAGCTGGCTGCAAGGGTCAGCCTGCTGCGGTCCCTGGGTGGCTCGGCTGAGCCTTCCACTTCTTCCCATAGAGTTAGCTGTTCTCCACGGCTCAGGACTCCAGCCGTGTGTGCACAGAATAGCAGGAGAGCCCCGTCAATCAGTGCCTCTGTTGCAGTTGCAATCGGTGGCTGGTGAGTGGCAGTCTAACCCCACCGTTAGGGGAGAGGACATGACATTCATCATCTGTGCCCCAGAGCTTTGAAAACTGGTGGACCGTGAGCTTTATTTAGCCCACCTAGTGTTTTCAAGAAAATCGAGCAACCCTCTAAGAATCAGGAGGTTTTAATTAAAATTGGAATTTCTGGCTTCTCTTGGACAATCAGAAGATGAGCAGTTCTGATCTGCCTTTTCAAAAGAGGACAATCAACTGGAACTAAGCAGGCGTTGCCTCTTTGGACAAGACTTGTCAGCTGGCCTGTGTCATTAATTTGGATTATCTGCCTGGTCCCTGAGGCACCCCCGTCCCCCCTCCCCACCACAGGTTTGGGTTCGAAAGTGAGCACCGCACAGTTGATGATTCCCTTTTCATCTTTTTGCCTGCAATTTTACCTAGCTACCACTAGGTGGATAGTAAACGTATACTTAGGTTTCCCCCAAGTGTGTGGTTGTTCAGTGAAATTCAAATGCAAGGTGTGCAGTGGGACATTTATGTGAGAACTGAGGATGGAAGGAGAGAGCCGAAGAATCCTGAGGATGCCCGGTGTGTGTGACTCAAAATGAGGTGTTTTAAGACCCCTGAGAGTTCAGGCGGAGGTGAGGGTACCACCACCTTAGCAATGACGTCCATGAAGAACGTGTTCCCCTTTCTTTTGACATCTATTGGTTTTGAAAAATTGAAAGATGAGCATTTTTATAACTTGAGACCTTTGTGGAACCCAGAAGTTGCATAATTCAGACACGCATCCAAATTGTGTCATTTCCGTCATAAGCCTATAGGGACGCCTTGAGCACTCGGCTGCTTCCCAGGGTCTCAGAGCCACCCTCGCTCTTTGGGGAGGGGCCTGGCTTTGGGCGGCCTTCGTTCATATCCCATGCTGTTAAGATGTTTGGAGCTCCATGTTTGTTCCCACTTCATTTTCTCTGCCCCAACTCAAGTCAGCACTCCCTCAGCCCGATTCTAGACGACGAGGAACACACGTTTCCAAGTCCAGGATCAGGGCCTTGTTTGGCATTGAGGTGTGTTGTTGGGCACATTCCATTCTCTCCTGGAGAGCAGGGTGCTTCTAACCGGCACAGTGTGCCCCCAATCCCACCTGGGGAGGCGGCGTCAGGAGAGGGAAGCTGGAGCTCAGCTCATGGACTGAAGGATGGACTCCTGATTCCAGGGTACACCTGATTGGATTGGCCACTCCCATCAACCCTGAATGCATCCCAGGTAGTTACCTTTCCTGGCCTGCTGGGGAGCTGTGGGTGGGAAATGTCCACAAGGCCACTTTGACTTTTCTATTTGTGGCCTCCACAAATAGACATCCACAGTCCTCCCGTTTTTGTCTTTTTTCCTCCCTTTCAAAACCTGCTTTCATGAACAGCTTGGACACCAATTCATGCTAAGGTTGCAGTGGCTGCCACACTTGTAACTTGGTCCAGAGCCCTGAGCCGCAGAGAAACAACCCTGAATTGGCATCTCATATACCATCCACCAGGTGTGGGGTTGTGGGTGGGGAAGTTTCCCCTAAAGTGACGCCCACTGTCACCTTCCCTGTGCCCTGGCAAGTCCTGGCACACCAGCTTCCTGAAGCCCTGAGATGCCGCCCTTTCATCTGTGGGGAGAGGTTGCTGAAGACGTCGGAAGTGCCTGCTAGACTGCAGGATCTCATTCTGCTGCAGTGTAGTTGTTCTTTCATCTCCAGTGCAGATAAATAAGAAGTCTCTGGATAACGGAGGGGGAAGCACCGTCTTTGGGGTAGGAAGCAACCCCATTCCTCTAGGCCCTTTGGGAGTTGGCTGAGGTTACCTCCTTTCTTTGAAGTCAGACGGAATTATGTTCAAATTTGGGCTCATTCACTGTGTGAGCTTGGACAAGTTACTTAACCTCTCTGGTCATTAGCTCTCTCACTTATAAACTCAAGGCTACTGCCTCATTGAGTTGGTATGCCAATCAAATGAAATGGTGTCTGTGGAATGCCCAGCTGTGTGCCTGATACTGATAAGCCATCGTTAACCCTTCTTTCCCCAAGGCCTCCCATGCCCTGATGCAGCTGATACACATGATGTCGCCTCAGTAACCATGGCTCTGTCCAGACAGGAGCTGCTGTTCACGACCTTTGGAACTGAGTAGCCCAAAATCTGGAATGCCTGCAGTGGGGAGAGTGGCCCAGGCTTGGCCCTGCCCCACCCCAAGTGTGTTCAGGACATGGAGACAGTCAAGGCTCTGGGCCTCTTATCAGTGTTCCCAGGGCTGATTGCTCAAGCTCGCATTCCTCCCGAGCAGGGCTCAGGGGCCTCCTCCAGCTTGGGAAACTGCCCAGACGGAACGCGTGCTCCTGGCCTCCGCCTCCCCCCAGTGCTTACCCTGACCTGCCTGGTTCCAGGACTTCCTTCTCTTCAGACACCCTCTGCTCTGTGAGCCCTCATGAGCCAGATCTTTAGAAAATGGCTTACGCTTCAGAGCCCCTGAGTTGCTTGATGACCTCAGACATTTGGGGAAGGTGTCAAGTGAAGAATTTCCATCTATTTCCTCCTTCCCTCTATTCTCTCCTTCCCTTCTCAACTCCTCCCTCCCTGCAGCCTCCCTTCCTCCAACACGTACTGTTTGCTCACTCTGGGGGAGGTGTGCCAGGTGCTGGGTAGATGGAACAAAAGGCACCAGCCCTGTCCTTAAGAAGCAAGAGAGACGGATGAGCAGCTGATTGAACCATGGCTGTGGCCAGTGCAGTGAGGGAGGGATGCATAGCAGGGGGCCACAGGGGCACAGAACAGGGAGGCGGGGAGATCACGATAGTCGTGGAAGAACGCTGGGAGGAGCTGGTGCCTGAGTTGAGACTTGACAGAGGGTCAGAGAAGTGTTGTGTGCAGACTGGATAATGTGGGAAAGTCCAGGGCTGAGAGAGCGTGGCCAATGTGAGAAATGCAGGTGACTGGGGAGGGCTGGAGTATGGGCTGTAAGGGGTGGTGGGGGGAGGGTTGGACAGGCTGGCCGGGCCTCAGATCAGGGAGAACCTTATAGGCCATATTAGGGAGTTGGAGCTTTATCCTGAGCATAATGGGGACCATAGAAAGGCTTTAACCAGAGGAGTGACTTGGTCAGATTTGCAATTTAGAAAGAATCACTTACTTCATACCCTGTCACGTTAGGCTCCAGGACCCATACATTTGCCTGATGCCACTGGGTACATGTTTCCCCCTCAGTCTGAGACACTGGCAACTCAATCATGGTATGAAGGTAAGGTGGGCAACTGGGTGGCGAGGGAGGAAGAGAGGGGCTAGGCATCAGAGCAGAAAGCGCCGGGGGGCATAATGTGGTTGTGCTGGGTCTGTTGCTGGCCTTTACATGAGGTGTCTCTATCAGAAATGCTGACAAGTAGAGCTTTGAGAATTTGAGGCATGACTGGGTGCTTTCTGGTTCATCCCATCTGTATTTTTTTTTTTTAAAGATTGGCACCTGAGCTAACATCTGTTGCCAATCTTTTTTTTCCTCTTATCCCCAAAGCCCCCCAGTACACAGTTGTATATTCTAGTTGTAGGTCCTTCTGGCTTTGCTATGTAGGACGCTGCCTCAGCATGGCTTGATGAGCGGGGCTAGGTCCCTGTCCAGGATCTGAACTGGCAAAACCCTGGGCCGCTGAAGTGGAGCGTGTGAACTTAATCACTCAGCCATGGGGCTGGCCTCCCGTCTGTATTTTTTTCACCTCCATTTTACAGCTATGGAAACCAAGGCATAGAGAGATCAGTAACTTTCCTAGAATTAATAAGAATCAGAGCAGGAACTTCAATTCCCCACCCCGTGTTCTTACCCTCCACTCCTGCTTGCCTGGGGTATGTGGGGGAAGTCCATAATTGGGAGGAGACAATGGATGTGGCGTCATTCCATTCACTTCTAATTCTAATATTTGTCACTTAAAAAAATGGTTGTCGTGACCCATAAATTAATTTCATGGCTCACTAATCAGTTACAACCCACAGGATGATGGAACGTGGGCACTAAAATGAGGGCTGGCTCGTGGGTGAGGGATTCTCTCTCCATCCAAAATGACTTAATTTGATCCATTTTAAGTAAAACATGCCTTTATCAGAATAGCGGCAAAAATTTATGGTGCAAAATGGGATAACTAATTTATCACATGATTGATTAGTTCAAGAGTCATCTGTTGAGCATCTACACTGGGTTGAGCCTTGGAATATAGGAATGGACAAAAATATAATGCGTCTCTTGAGGGGCATATAATCTAAGGTGGAAAGAAACCCATAGTCATTTTTAATATAATGCGGTAAATGCTAAGTGAGGAGATGTACGTAATGAGAGCACAGAGTAAGGGCACCAAATCTAGGTCATGAGAGTTGGTGGTGATGTCTCAGAAGAATAGTCAAGGAGGAGGAGGTGTTGGCTGGGAGAAGAAGATTGGGTGAGGTAGGAGACGGTGGAGGTGGGGGAAGGACAGGAGATCCAGGAATTGCGTGATGTGACATTCCGTACTGTGCTCCGGAAGTTACTGCTGCAAGTGTCCGGAGGTGGGCATGGTGGGAGATGAGATGGCAGAGGAAGGGAAGGGCTAGAGCCTGGTCTTTCCCTCGAGGTATTAGGGAGCCATTGAAATGGGAAAAGCTCTTACCTTTTCTTGGAAAACTATCAAACGTTCTCTGTCCCCTCACCAGCCTTTAATGTTATCCTAAGTTGGTAGGTGAACGATGGTTTGGTGTTGTGTTAATTTGCATTTCCCTAACTACTGATCAAGTTAACATTTTTCATGTTTATTAGCTGTTTGTACTTATTCATGTCTTTTCCCCATTTTTCTACTGGGATTTTAATATTTTTCTTATCAAGTTATATGAACACTTTATATATTAAGGGTAACAACCCGTTGTCCTATTTATTGCATATATTTTCCCCAGCCTTGTCATTTGCCTTCTAGTTTTGTTTAGAATGGTTTCTGATGCCCCAAAGTTTTAAATTTGGTGTAGTCAAATGTATTGATTTTCTTTCCCTTAGTGATTTCTTCCATTGCTTTTATGCTTAGAAAATCCTCTCTCATCCAGAGATCAAATAAATATAATTGAAATGTTTGAAGCAGCAGAGAGCCGTGGATGGATCATTAATAATATTCACAGGTTAGATGTAGCGGCAGGAAAAAAACCAACAACCAGAGTAGGAGAAATCAAACCTTCGTCTATCCACCCCAAACCCAGCCCAAGGTTAAAGGTGGAAACTGTTAGGGAGCACAGAGGTGGATGAGGGAGACGGGAGATGAGGAAATGTGGGAGGGTCTCGAAGGACTAGTAGGAGGTGATCAGGCAGACAGGGTGGGTGGGAGTAGAATGGAGAGGAAGCTACTTGTCCTGAGGTAGGATATGAAGGAACACAGAACGTTTGGTTAGAATCTTAGATGAGAAGAAGCAGTGATGGGAGAGGGAATTGAAAAGAAAATTAGGAAACGCCAAGGGGGGCCCATAAATCGTGTTAAGAAGTTGGGACTTGATTCTGAGAACAGTGGTGAGCCATTGAAAATATAAACCAAATAATTCTTGGTGCCTCATGGAGCCAGTCTGCCTAGAGTTTCGTTTGAGGAGGCGTAATCTGGCAGTCAAAAGTAAGAAGAAAGGAAGACCGATGACAAGATTCCATAGACAATGGCACTGCTCTGCCCTCTCTGAGGGAATAGCCTCTTTCCACCTGGACCAGACGGTGGGGAGATAATGTCTTCTCTCCTCCTTCCCTTTCCCTGTGTTCCTTGGTGCTGAGAAAGCCTGGGCTTTGGAGGGGACAGACCCAGGTTTGGATCCTGACTCTGCCACTCCCTAGCCATCTCCTTTCCCACCTGCCTGCCTCCCTTCTTTCTGCAAATTCCACTGGACACCTATGATGTGCCAAGCATTGTCTAACTGCTGGGGACACAGGGCAGAGATGAACCACGTAATTTCTGCCCTCATAGGATTATAGACTAGTGAGGGAAGCAAATGATCACTGAAACAAATGTAAAGTTCAAAGTTTTAAAAATGTTTTTAGAAGAGAGATAAAATCTTATTAGGGGACGTGATCTAATAAGATGTCAAAGAAGGCTTCCATTAGAGGGGACCTACTATCTGGAGAGTAAGCAGGAGTTCAGAGGTTGAGGAGTGGGGACACAAGGAACAGTCCATGTAAAGGTCCTTTGGCAGGAGGACAAGAACTGAGACAAGGCCAGTGAGACTGGAGAGTAGACAGAGAGGAAGATACAGGTGACCATGAGGCAGGAGGTCACATCATGCCAGACCTTGTAGGTCATGTGAAGTACTTTGGTTTTACTCTGAAGAGTGATGTGAATCCATTCAAATGGTTTATTCAAAACTGCTGGGGCTGGAGTGGGTTGGACGTAGAGACACAATCAGATTTGTGTTTTGAAGAGATCCTTTTGGCTTCTATGTGGAGAACCAGTTGGAGATGGTCAGAGTAGACAGGGAGACCCAGTGCTATTGCATCAGTCTAGGCAAGAGAAGATGGTAGCTTGGTCTAGGCAGGGAGGGCGAGATGGAAAATTAGGGAAGTGGATATATATATGAGATATTTAGGAAGTAAAATAAGTGGGACTTGAGGTAGATTGTATATGGACACTGATGCAAGATAATGGGGTATCAAGAAAGACTCCAGGTTTCAGGTTTGCACATCTAATGGGGATAACAGTTTGGGGGTAGGGATCACTGGTACAGGAAACATCAGAAGAGGATCAGGTATGGGGAAGGGGTTGGGGAAGAGGTTGAAACATCTGCTTTGGACTTGAAGAGTTGAAGATGCATTTGAAATATCTGAATTGAGTTGAAGCTCAGAGAAGACTCGGCTGGAGGTTTTGTTTTTTGGGGAGGAAGAGTGGCCCTGAGCTAACATCTGTGCCCATCTTTCTCTACTTTGTATGTGGGTCGCTGCCACAGCATGGCTTGATGTGTGGTGTAAGTCTGTGCTTGGGATCTGAACCCACGAACCCTGGGCCGCCAAAGCGAAGCATGCTGAACTTAACCACTATGCCATTGGGCTAGCCCCTGGAGACTTTTCATGGATCATTATTATTAGAGTTATGGCTATGAGCGTGATGCTAGGGAAAGAGTATGGAGTGAAAATAGAAGAGGGCCGTAAGGAACTCTAATATCTAATATGATCTTGGGCCAGTTGAAGGCTCTTGTAGAGTTATTTTGGTGGTTAAATGAAATACCTTATGCCCAGTGCCTGGCATGTAGTAGGCACTCAATAAATGCTACATATATCACCCTTCTCTCCTTTTAACTAGCCTTTTCCCTTTATTTTATTCCTCTCTGTTTTCTGGCTGTATGTATTGCAGCCAGAGACTTAAACCAAATCTTCCATCTTGAGATGGCCCCCGGGTAACTAGTGCATTTACCAGGCAAGCCTGTTCTTCTCCAGGTCCCAGCCTTGGAGAGTCTCCCTCTTAAGAGATCTCTGAAACTGAACTAAGGATACTTTGAGCCAATGACCAACACTTGGAGAGCCAATTTGCTTAGCACACACAGCAGTATCTACCTTAGAATGATGATCATGCCACCTCGCCTTTCTAGAACATTTTGTATTTTTTCAGAGAATTTTCGTGTGACGATTATCTCAGTAGTTCATCACAGGATTTTTCATTATAAAATGCATTTGCATATTTTGTTTACCTCTAATTCTTTTTTCACTGCTAAAACAATAGTATTTTGAGCAAGCATGCATATGGATGACTTACGAATTCACTCTTATTCTGGGGCTTGTTTTCTCTTGTTTCCTCATTTTATTTTTAAATTGTGAGTTTTATCTCCCCGGTCATATTCTTTCACATGTTTCGGTGATTCTCAATATCACAGTTCTGTTTTTTCTCTTCCTTTTTTGGCATCTGCCCTCTTCATCTCCTCTCAGCAACAGCAAGGGTTCTGGCCCCCAAAGCCCATTGTTCGGGCACATTCAGAAACTCACGTTTTTTATTCCACTTCACCGCATTTCTCTCTGAGGCAGGTGCTGTTTATTCTTCATTGAAGCTTCATATTAGTTTTAACTAGAGATTTGTTATGCAAGACAACCTCATGATCACGCAACCTCATCCAAGTTCTTCCTCTGCCCCTGGCATCTTAAAGACTCCTCTGCTTCTCAGTCTCAAAAAATCACTCCTCCCCCCTGCCCCTGCCCCTCCCCCATTCTGCATAATACTCCTCTGATTTGCCTTCCTGTATTCCTGATCATCTTCTGCCGTCTGTGTTCATCCTCTCATT